TTATATTATCATTTATTGTGATATAATCGATATGTAAATATTATATGACTAATGAAATGTATAACAACCTCGAAAATATTCAAAATAAATAAATAATAATTAAAGTGTAGAAGCGAAATAAATGTTTAAGATTTACATTTCTTACACAATAATTTAAAGTACCAATTAGTGTTACGGAATTCACACATTTTAAAAGAAATACAAAGAAATAAGGAAATGAACGAAAAATAAAGAAAACTAGCATTCTACTCGTAATCCTCTTGTGGATCGGGTTCTGGATCTTGATCCTCTTGATATGAAATTATTAAATAAGGGATGAGTTATACTACCATAATATGAATATCACACTATATTACTGACACAGAAATGAAGGTTAATAGAAAAAATCAAAAAAATAACTAATGGAGCACTAAATTAAGCAAATTTATTTATCAATAATAAAATCATTTAACGTCCACTTATCGTAGTGAAATTTATAGAAAATAACCTATATAAAATAATAACATTATATATATCATGATTCCGTATATAATTGGCAACATAGCACATATTATACTTTCATATTCAAATCGTCAAACAACAATTGCTCATTTTTCCACCAGTCTGCTGGTATCTATGGGGGTTTATAGGGATATCCCCGCTACGCGTAAACTTTTTTTCTTTAACATTCTCAATTATGGGCCGTCGCCATACCCCGTCCGGTATGAGCACCAAGTTACCAAGTCTTCATACTCTGTCCGGTATAAGACACGTTTACGGTAGGGTTCTCTGTGTACCCGGTCCGTTAACCATATCTCAAGATGTCAAGTAAGGCTGCCGTTTCATCCAGTCACTTAATCACACAAGTTTTCCATTTATCTTTAACCTCTATTTTTTCAATTTAACAGTAGTCACATAAAACAACAATACATGCACTCAAAGCTATAAAATAAATCAATAAGGCACTATCATGCATTTAAACTGCAAAAACAATCAATAGAGAATAGTTTCTGGTTCTGTCTCCATTAGCAATCCGTAATTAATCATGAACATTTCTAAATTGTACAGAATACTGTATTTATTGTTAATTGGACTTCAATTCTATAACAGAGAATAGGGTAAGAGATTCTTACTTAATTTGATGCCCGAAAGCTTAAACTGTTAACTGCGCCAACTAGCGGTCCCCGGGTTCCCTGAATTTTTTTTCGAAAATCAAAACGTGTTATAAGTACCTATAAATGTCCCAAACAAAACCTAAATCAGTCTCAGGGGCCATTTTGGCCAATTTTGGAATTCCAGCACGGCGGTGGTTTGCCTCGAGTCGGCTATTTTCAGCCATTTTTGGCTGGATTCAGTCGATTTTGCATCAGTCCATGCGAGAAAATATGTTAAGGGGCCCCGGTTGGCCAAAAAAACACAAAAACAAAAACTCACCAGCGGCGGGGTTCTCTAGTGTGGCGGCTCCTCCGGCTCATGTTGCAGTTGGGTGTTTTGCTTCGGTCAACCTGTAAAGAAGGAAACAGTGATCACAACGGTGAAAAAATTACGCAGAACAAGAATCGGGAAGGGCCTCATCGAAAGCGTTTTGTAAAATTTCTCGCGATGCCGCTGTGGGGTTTTGCCCATGTTTTTCGGCCAATCAGCCGATCCTTTTGCTCCGATTTGGCCATGGGTGTGTTTAAAATTGAATTCTGAGCAAATGAGAAATTGTTTACCTCTTTTGGCAGTCGGAAAGGGCTCCGGTGTAGCGGCGGGTGGCGGCGGTTGGGTCTTCTTCTTCGACGAGTGGGTCTAGTGGCTAGTGTTAGGGTTTAGTGTGGATGGGCTTTATTTATATCCGTCCGTATTTAATATGAGTCGTCCATCACATTTGATCTACACCGTTCGATTGCGATTAAATAGGGAGTGAATCTGGACCATTCATCGCGATCTAATATGAATTTTCTAATTGCGTTTAAATTTGACCGCTTGATCGCGTTTGGGGAGGGAACGCATCCGGGCCGTCCGTATGCGTGGGAACGAATCTGGGCAGTCTGATCACGGCCATGGGGATTGCCCGCATGGTCTCTTGCGTGGCATCGTGTCAGCGTCCCCTACCACGCGACGCGTCCTGATTCGTCGGGGCTGCTGACCGGGCATCCTACATGGAAAACTTCTCTAAACTGCATTTTGACCTCCGGTTTATGATTTTCTTTCAAAAATACCACTAAAACCCAAATTTTCACCAAATTTCTCTAAAATTATTTTCAATTTAATTCTCCATCAATTTTACTTCATTTTTACTCTAAATTAAAATTAAAAAATTAAAACATTAAGAAATTATATTTATAAATAAATATTAAATTACATTAAAAATTAATTTAGGGTATTATAAAATAGATGAATTTTTAATTAAAAAAATAGTGTATCAAAGCTCACTTTCATATGAATTAAGTTTTTAGCTTATGCTAGCACAAGATGTTATTTAAAAGAATTTTCTACAATTATATAAAATAATATAAATATTTATTTTACATAAAAGTAAAGAATTGTTTATAAAAATGTTTTTTAAAAAATTATCATACGTTTATTTTTTTTTTGTAGAAGATGTTCATAATAAATGAGTTGTAGAAGACAAATAGGAAATTAAAATTTTATATAATGCATAGTTTAAAATTGTAATTAATTGAAGATTTAAATAGATAAGTATTAAATATATATATTTGTTGTCAATTAAAAATTAAATTAAATTTTAATAATAAAAAATTTAAATAAATGTTATGTATTATATATATTTATAGTTAACTAAAAATTAAATTCAATATTTGTATTTAAAAAAGTTTCAAGTGAATAACTATTATACATATTATAACTTTAATTCTGTTTCATCTATTATATATTATTATTTTAATTTAAAATGTTTAGATAATTGTTATATATATTTAATTTGGATATATGAATAGTAGAAATTAGTTAAAATTTTTCTAGATAAAATAGAATAAGATCTTTTAAGTAATTTAAAATTAAATTATATATTTGATTAAGATTTTTTATATTGAACTAAAAATAAAATTTTATTTTTAAAATATATACTATCATGTTAGTTTTATTTTAAAATAATAAAATTTTATATAACAATTTTTTTTTCTTCCTTCTATATATATATCATGCAACGACTCAGGAAATTCTAAAAGTAATAAATTATAAATTTAGTGCGGAAGCGAAATAAATAGTTAGGGTTTACATTCCTTATACAATAACTGAAAGTACCAAATAGAGTTTAGGAATAACTCTTCTAAAAGAACAATTAATAACCAAGGAAATAAATTAAAGTAAACAACTGAACGTC